GATATTCAACGAGGACCCTGGAGGGGGGAGTGGGAATTGGATGGGACAAGAGACACGAGAAATGAAGACAAGACAGTATTCTGATCAAGTCTCGTTTATTGATTCTTAGGTTACATCTTTATCAACGACTGGAAATGGAACATTCCTCTAATGAGCGACATCGATCTGCTCGCCCTTCAAAGAGTAGAGCTGGATAGTCAAAGACGGGTAATGAGGATGTTATTCTGGTACTAGGTTTAGGTGCTTTTATCAACGACTGGAAATGGAACATTCCTCTAATGAGCGACATCGATCTGCTCGCCCTTCAAAGAGTAGAGCTGGATAGTCAAAGACGGGTAATGAGGATGTTATTCTGGTACTAGGTTTAGGTGCTTTTATCAACGACTGGAAATGGAACATTCCTCTAATGAGCGACATCGATCTGCTCGCCCTTCAAAGAGTAGAGCTGGATAGTCAAAGACGGGTAATGAGGATGTTATTCTGGTACTAGGTTTAGGTGCTTTTATCAACGACTGGAAATGGAACATTCCTCTAATGAGCGACATCGATCTGCTCGCCCTTCAAAGAGTAGAGCTGGATAGTCAAAGACGGGTAATGAGGATGTTATTCTGGTACTAGGTTTAGGTGCTTAGAATAACATCCTCATTACCCGTCTTTGACTATCCAGCTCTACTCTTTGAAGGGCGAGCAGATCGATGTCGCTCATTAGAGGAATGTTCCATTTCCAGTCGTTGATAATGAATCTGAATGGCCCATGCTTGAATAGCCTCATCTGTTCCTTAATAAAGATAGTGACCTTATTAAAAAGGAAAGGCCCCAAGGACAGCAAAAGAAGTAAACCTATAAGAGGACCTAATAAAGGTAAGAGGTAAGGTAAAAATCCATTGAGCCCAGTCCAAAGGGGATTGTCAGCCAACTGTTTTCTTCTTTTTTCTAAATCTTTTTGCAGTTGTTTGATGTGATCACGCACTGTTCCAGACTTATTCGCATAAAAGCAGCACTTTTCCTGTAAAGCCAAACAGATACCTCCCTGCTCAGCAGTTAGTAAATCAAGACCTCTGTGGTTTTGTAAAACCACCTCTGCCAAAGAATCTTATTGGTCTTGTAAATCCTGAATAGTCTGAGAAAGAGTCTGTACATCTGAGATTAATTGTTTAGATAATTTGGTATATTGGGATATAGAATGTGTAAGACCAGCAGTTCCAGTGGCTAGTGCAGCAGTCATTCCTAATCCAGCAAGCAAAGGAATAAATTGTACAGCTCTTTTTACTCTTTCTGTTATGTGTTCAAAAGTAGGAATGGGTACAGGCTCAGTTTCCAGTATAACATCAACATCAGGAAGAAGAAGGGTCAAGACACATAATCCTGTCCAGTTAGTGGGCAGCTGTCTCAGAGATCTCAGGAGACCCCTCTCTATTTTGAATCATATCACGAATTAAATTCCAATAGAAAAAGGTGGTTACAGGAACTTTTTGAGGGCCAAATGTTTCATAATGATCTTGCAAAGCATCGCAGATCTCTGTTTCAACTAAATTCAGTGGTAGCATGAAAACAGATAATACATAAATAATACATAAACATAGATTATACATAGATAATACATAGATAATACATAAACAAATGTGTGTGGCTGTGTTCCAACAAAACTTTACAACAACAGGCAACTGGCCTTCAGGTTGTAGTTTGGTGACCCGTGGACTAGATTATACTGAAATAAAAAACCCCAAATCTCAGCAGCTTAAAAACAAAGGTTTATCACTCACTCACACAGGTCTGCCAGGAAACTGCTCATTATAGACTTCTAGGAATTCAGATTTATTGAGAATGACACACTTCTGTGGTCACTGAAGCAGAAAACAGAAACATGAAGCAGAAAATAAATCCTATGCCAGCTTTTAAAACTTCCACATGGAAGTGACATCACTCCCTCTCATTTCTTTGGCCAAAGCAAGTCACATGATTACCCATATCTTCATGGGATCAAGGAAGTACAAACCTACCATGTGCCCAGGAGGGTGGGAAGCAGATATATTTGGTGAACAGCACTAATGACTACCAGAAGCATATCGTTTCCAATTCTTTTACTCTTGTTCTGCCTCTTTTTCTTTTAATTAAAGATGACACCGTTAGCAATGTTGGGAGAACTCACTCACTGTGGAAACACTAGAATTTAAAATCTATTTTTTAGTCACATTTTGCTACCTTGCTTTATTGCAAACCACTCTTGCCCCACTTGCTTCAACTCTAGTGAATCTATCTATTGCCATTGCTTTCAGCAGGCAATATTTTTGCTACATAACTTAAGGGTTTTTTTAGTGTAAAAGAATTAGCATTTTTTTCTGCCTGATCTGATCAAGTCTCGTTTATTGATTCTTAGGTTACATCTTATATAGGAAAAAGCAGGCATATTGTAAGGAGTTAGGAATGCAGGAATACGATAAGATCTTGAGAAGAAACAAAGTCAGAAAATCTCTGATGCAAAGAAGCCCCCAATCTTTACAAGAAAGCAGAAACTTGGAAGGAGATAAGAGGTCACTCTTGAGTAGACTTGCATAGCCAGGAGCACAGTGTCCCAGGCACAAACAGATTATGAGGCAGATATCCCGTAAGCACAGACATCTGGCACAAGCAGATTGTCACGTGGGCCTGGTCACACAAGAAGGGGTGTGGAGCTTCAGGCCCCCAACAGGTGCTTACACAGAAAATCCCAAGCTGACGGTGGCTTAAACAACACTTTTATTTCCCTCTCATATTAAAGAAGACTGGAAGCAGCCAGGCTGGGCAGGTATAGCAATTCCATGGGCTTGATGGACCTCCTTTTAGCTAACTGCTCAGCCATTCCTAGGTTGTGGCCCTTATTATCATGATCCAAGATGCTGCTAAAGCTTTGGCCATATGTGCCAGTCAGGATGCTGGCAAGAAAATGGAAACAACACTAGGTATTTCAACAGAGAGAATTTAATATAGGGGATTGAGTCAGGTGTTGGAGAACTGAAAAAGCAAAAAGGGAGCACAGAAGTGATTAAAATAACAACATCAGGAAGCAGCCCCACCCCTGAGCTGGGGAAACAAGGGAAGAGATTAGGGTTATCAGAACCTGGAAGCTCAGGGAAGGCGCCCACAGAGCTATTGACTCCAACCTCTTGAGGAGAGTGTACTGCTTGGCTGTTGCTGGCATCTTGGCATTCCAAGGCTTGTCCCCTTAGAGCTGGGGCTTGGACCTCTGGCTCTAGTGCTGGTACCTCTGAGCAGGTTCTGGGACTGATGTGTGCAGCTGCTGGGCTGATGTGTGGTTACTGCTGTGTGCCACCAGGAGCAGCCAGCACACATCCTTTCTCCCACCTCCTGTCTTGCAGCCTCCCTCCAGTGTCCCTGCTGGTAGGACCTAACTGGGAACAGCTGATGAAGGAGAGATGTAAGTGGCTTGATAATTGACACACCATTGTATCCTTGCTCCAGCAGCAGCATGGAGAATAGGGAGTAAGGGCAAAATGTATGAGTAAGTCTTAAGTTGATTTTCCAAAAGTCACACAAACATGTCGTTTTACATTTTTTTTTGCCAGCACTTGGAAACATGGGCACACCTATGTTATATATAACATAGGTATATATAGTTATATATAGTTTTTTTTTTTTTTTTTAAAAGATGACCGGTAAGGGGATCTCAAACCTTGGCTTGGTGTTGTCAGCACCACGCTGAGCCAGTGAGCCAACCGGCCATCCCTATATAGGATCCGAACCCGTGGCCTTGGTGTTATCAGCACCGCACTCTACCAAGTGAGCCATGGGCTGGCCCGTATATAGTTAAATATAGGTTTTTTGCTAGGCATGTTGCTGCCTGAATAAAATCTGGGTTTACTTTCCAAGAAAGAGGAGGAGAATGTCTGCTGTACAAGCGGAACTTTCAAAATTGTTAGGCCAACTTTAATACAGCAACATTAACCTTCAAATGAAAATTTCTGCCCATTATCTTTCACTCCAACAAATTAAACGATTTCTATTGGCCTTTATTTCCTGGCAGCACTTGTCAATATATACTCATAATCCTTGTAAAGTAGGGCACATGATAATATAAATTAGCTTTGTATTTTAGCCTCACTTTTGGAGGTCTAGCTTGTCTAGGCTGGAATGTTCATGGGATGGAACAATGGAAGAGGCTGGTGGCTCCCATGACTGGGGGGGGTTAGAAAGCTGTGGTCTAATTTGCTGATACCCTTTTCTCCAAAAGTTGTGCATATACTGCTGTATAATCTTGATACATATGACAGTTAAGTGTGGACTGAAGATTTGCTGAAGCCTTAGCTTCAAACACTGTCCCATGATTCTGAGTTTCTGTCTTGGAGTTTTTTCTGTTTTGTTTTTGTTTTCTTGACTGGGAAGGGGATCTTAACCCTTGACTTGGTATTGTCAGTACCACGCTCAACCAGTGAGCCACGGGCCATCCCTATATAGGGATCTGAACCCTTGGCCTTGAGTGAGCCACGGGTCAGCCCTGTACACAGGCAATATTAAAAAAAAACTCTCCCCCAACTGTACTCTAGAAATACAGATTGGGAATTTGTTTTTTTTTTTTTCCTTTTTGTCTTTTTTCGTGTCCGGCAATGGATCGCAACCCTCAGTGTTGCGCCCGGACCGGACCGGGACCAGCAACGGGATCACAACCCTTGGTGTCGCGCCCGCACCTTGCTCAGCCAGTGAGCGGGAACCGGTCTGTATGTGGGATCCAAACCCTCGGTAGGAGCGCCGCCGCGCTCCCAAGCGGCGCACTGTAGCAGTGCGCCACCGGGCCAGCCCGGGAATTTGTTTTTAATGTGACTCGTGGAGTTAATCTAAAAACTGGAGTTAATCATTTACGTTCCAGGTATCTGGAGAGAATAAACTGAGACTTAAAATGAGAACCATTCTTGTGTAACTCTAATTTCTCCTTTCTTTTTATCCAAGAAGAGTGGTTTAGCTCACCTTCAAAATACAGATGTTTACTGTCCTCTTACTTCTGACAGAGGTGGCCTCAGTAATATGCTGTTCCAGTGCGCCTTACCTGACACTACAGCTACCATTGGCGATGAACCTCGGAAAGTGCTCCTGCGGCTGTATGGAGCAATTTTGCAGATGGTGAGTTCATAGGCTGCTTTGGGAGGGAGGGACCTGTTAACATTTTTAAGTCATGTTTTCTGAGATGCCTGAAAGAGATTTTAAAGACTTTAGTGGTGTTACTAAAGATATTTAAATATATTGCTTTTATTTTAATTGGGCTGCAAAACTTGGTTTATTGTTTACATTCTAAGTTAATTTCTGTTTTTACTTATTATGTATTGGTAAGCTAGTATAAGTATTTCCAGTTTTACATGCAGAGAAGGTATAATGTTGGTATATAGTACTTGGTGATTTTTGGATTTTCTACACATGGAAATTTTCAGCTCAGATTTAGATGATAAAATTCTAATGTGGAAAAGGTATTGTTTTTATAGCATAATCAAAAAGATTTTAGAGGATAGTCCCAAATTTTTTAACAAAGTATGATTTCAGTGAAGCTGAAATTTATTAGCTATTTCTCTGAGATTTCTTTAAAATTTTGAATTTGTTAGATTTTATAATCTTTCTAAAATTTTATATTACTTAATCTAGATTAATTTTCAAGTGAAGTACCTTATTTATTGAATTGTCTTATCTAATTATAAGCTATCCCAAATGTCTGAATTTTTTGATTTGTTTGTTTTACTGTTTATGTTATGAATTTACCATTTCACCGACTGCACATAGAAATGTTAGGTTGATTTATTTCTACGGTAGGTTTTTGAAATCTATTTTAATCTTCTTTGGAAAGGTTCATTTTTTTATCTTCATGAAATAGAGCAGAGTAGTTTTCTGACTAAATTTTTTAAAAGACCAGTTTATTTCATCTCAATCTAAAAAGTAAGTCATGTCCATGTCTATGATATTTGTTTAGAAATATTAAAGTTTAAATTGGCAATCTAGATGTTAGTTTGTTAAAAAAAATTTGTCATAATGTGAATGAACCCTTTCACTAGATAATTTTTCCTTGACTGTGTCAAGCTGCAAAAGTAATTAAGATCTAAAAATGCTGGGAGCGAGTTAGCATGTTTGGAGGTACATAGCTATTCCACATGTGTTCCTTTGCCCAGGACATCTGAAGTTGCTTTGTAATTAGGTACATACAGCTGGCGAACAGCTAGGGCTACAGTTGAAGCTAACTTACAACACTGAACAGAAGCAGGAAAGATTCATGTGCTTACCATACAGTTTGGTTTTTTTACTTGATCAGTTGCAATTTCAAAGCAGTTTTTGGAATAATGTCCTTTTGGCACTTTTAATGAGATCAGTTTTTAAAGTCATTTTTTCCTTTGAGGAATGTTTACATTTTGTAACAATCAAGACCCATTTCTTTTTTTTTTCTTTTTTTTTTCTTTTTGTCTTTTTTCGTGACCGGCAATGGGATCGCAACCCTCAGTGTCACGCCCGCACCGTGCTCAACCAGTGAGTGGACTGGTCTCTACATGGGATCCGAACCCTCGGCGGAAGCGCCGCCACACTCTACCGAGTGCGCCACTGGGCCGGCCCTCAAGACCCATTTCTGTTCTTTCATTTTGAGTTTTGCATTTAAGCATTACTTTTTTTTTTTTTTTTTTCCTTTTTGTATTTTTCGTGACCGGCAACGGATCGCAACCCTCATTGTCGCGCCCGCACCGGACCGGGACCGGCAACGGGATCGCAACCCTCGGTGTTGCGTCCGCACCTCGCTCAGCCAGTGAGCGGCCGGTCTGCATGTGGGATCTGAACCCTCGGCGGGAGCACCGCCGCACTCCCAAGCGGCGCACTGTAGCAGTGCGCCACCAGGCCGGCCCTAAGCATTACTTTAGTAAATAGCTACTGAAATTGCATGTGATATGACTATTTAAGTCTGATTTGTGAGGCTTTCGTTTCTATTTATAATTTAATAGAAGCACTTTAGATGTGCACAATGTGCTCTTCTATGTACTAGACTAAACTAGGAGTCAAGTCCTGTGCTTTAGAGCAGTGCTGCAGTGATGGAAGTAATAGAATGTTCTGCATCTGTGTTATCCAGTACGCTCATCACCAGCCACATGTGAGTATCGAGCACTTGAAATGTGTCAAGTGTGACTGATGAACTGAATTTTAAATTTTATTTAATTTTAATTAATTTAAATTGGAATAGTCACATGTAGCTGGAGGCCACTGTATTGGACAACCTGGCTGTAGAATGTGCTGGGTTACTACGTGAGCAATTAGTAAAAGCCAACTGCCACACAGCCTGCAAATTGGCAGTTATTCTTTCCCCTAATAAAGACTCACTATCAATTGTTAATCTTTTGTCCTTTTTGAAATTTTAGCAGTCTGGAAGTATTACCTTGTAGTAGTTAAATACAGTAGAAATGACTGGAGATAAAATTTGTTTAAACAGAATTTTATGTCCTTATTTATTTTTAAGGAAAAAAAGAGAAGATTAGGTGACTCAAAAAAATAAATAGCAGAATAATTGAAGCCACTGAAAATGGAAAGAACTCTTACCAAACTAAAAGAGTGGAGTATATTTTACACACAATTCTAGTTTCGGGGAGAAGCACTCTACATTTAGCTTCTCAATTATATTTTTATTAGGCTTATGTTAAATTAGTTTCCATTCCTGAAGCTACATCCACTGATGAAAGGTGGAAATCGTGCTGGAAAGCATCTTGGATAGATAGGGAAATGAGTATTCTAAGTGAATAATAACCACCTGTCTCACAATCTCAGAATTGGTTTACTAGACAATAAGCCCGTTTTTGTTGGGAAAAAGCTACTCCTTTGATTCATAGTTGGGAATCTGTATTTTCAATACACTTACTCAGTTGGTTTAATTCTTAATTTAAGCACTCTTTTTTGGTCGAAGTTTAAACTTAGTAAAATCATGAAACTACAGCCTCACATTTAAATATTTTTGGTTCCCAAGCTCTGCAGGGTTTAGCAGGAACACTTGTTCCCAATTAGAGTTTCAGATATTAATGGCCATTGTAGACTATTGGCTATTGGAGATACTCTGACAACACGAGGAGAGGAACCAAATTCAGGGACTCTGAAAAATAGCTGTGGTAGGAAAGAAGGAGTGGAGAGGAGACCAAGATGTGAGCCAGGCAGCAACTGCCGTGTGCTTTTAAAAAGTTGAAATTCCATAGCCCTGCGCAAGGGATTTTACCTTTTCAAGTATTTTCAATTTAGTTTTAAAATTCCTATTTATTTATTTTTGCTGGGGCATGGGTGCAATCACATTACCAATTTATGGTGAACTCCTTGAATAAATCTGGCCTATAGGGGAAGGAGATGTTTACAGTGTACAATGAAGCTTTTGTTCCCATCACAACAAAAAAATTGCCAGAATTGGTAGTAAATTGTCAGGATTTGCATTAATTAAGAGATGTAGCTGAGCAAATACAGAGCTCCAAATAATAAATCACATTACTCTCATAAATTTATGGGTTGGGCCAGCCTGTGGCTCACTTAGGAGAGTGCGGTGCTAATAACACCAACGCCATAGGTTCAGATCCCTATATAGGGATGGCCAGTTAGCTCACTCTGGAGAGCGTGGTGCTGACAACACCCAGTCAACGGTTAAGATCCCCTTACCGGTCATCTTTTTAATAAATAAATAAATAAATAAATAAATAAATAAATAAATAAATAAATAAATAAATAAAAATTTATGGATTAAGGACAGAATTAAATACAGTACGACTCAAATTTTCTGCTTTCCATTTTTACTCTACCTTATAGGAAAACACACATTCATTTTATGCATATATATGTTTAGACAAATATAACTGGTATCTCCTAAATCAACTATGTAAGTACAGTTATATCATCCTTTAAGAATGTGGATTAGAATTCACTCCTTCCTTGAAAAATGTTAATTGAAGATGCCTACACAAATGATAAGTCCATGTATTTTCTCAAAATGTTTTGCTTAATTATATGAAAGACCAGTTTAAGTTTAGTATGTCCCTTCTTTCCCTTTACTCTCCTTGTTTTAGGCTTTTGAACTGTTACCTCTGTGAGAATCAAGTATTAAGTAGAAATATTTCTCATGTTCTTTGACCAGCAGATGATTTACAAGTGACTTATTTTAAAATAACTAGATGCATCTCAGCTTTCTCATTTTTCTTCCTCTTGGTGTTGTGAGATGTCTTGTCCATAGCGACAATGAAATGACTGCTCTTTGGTGCAGTTCCTTTTTTTGGCAACTGGTGGGTATAGGGATCGAACCCTGGACCTTGGTGTTACCAGCCCCATGCTCTAACCAACTGAGCTAACCGGCCAGCTTGTGGTACAGTTCTTTAAGGGTTAAGTACCACAAAGGCAAGCTAAAATTCTCTGATTGGGTTAAGGCCCACAGTTTCTGTCCCACTAACATCTGTCTCTTCCAGCTCCTATTTCTACATAAGATGAGACAGAAGCAAACTTCCTAATTGTATCCTGAAGGTTTTGTTTAGGATTTGTGTTAGTTTTAGGGACTTAAGAAAAGTCCTGTGTTTAAGGATAAGAATTTTTGAAATTCTTGAAAATATGAATCAATGAAAATATTGGTCTGATCTTATTAATACATGTCAATATAATTTAGTGTCTGTTTCACATAGACTGTACTTTTTGTGGGGAGGAGGTTATTTTCATTAGTTGCAAAGACAATGAAAACCAAAGTTAATTGTAAAATTACCCTGAACAAAAATAATTTAATAGAACTTCTGAGAAGTTACAGTTTAGCCTTTGCCTTTGTGGAAAGAGATGTAATTGCTAGTAGAGAGCTTGAAACTATAAAACTAGCTATAAATGTAACTTGATTTTTTTCCTTTCTGATACTGGGAAGGAACATGAGCTCTGCAACGTCCAGTAGCAGCCTTTTCAAAGAAGCAAGTTTGGCTGATTACAAATAACCAGTTTGCTTATTTATCATGAATTGTGGAAGACACAAATGTCAGTACGTATTGTTCACTCAATGTAACCTGTGCCAGTTGGCAGAAGTCTCAGAGGATTGCTTTGTCCTTTCCTCTGTCAAAACAGTGACTCTGTGTTAAGCCAATTCCTTCCGTGCATGAATGGAGAGA